CATTTTCATATAGGTTGGGTATCCATCACTAATGACTTATGTAACGAGCTTCAGCTCCATTCCTACCGATGCCTCATAAACCACTTTAGAAGTTTGTGGTCTGGTTAACGAATCTACAAGATCTTTTTCAGACCTCACAAAATCTAGAGAAATTTTACTTTCGCTGAGGTATTGTCTTACCAGGTTATGCCTAAAGCAGATGTGCCTTATTTTACCATTGTAAGTTTTGTTCTTGGCTATGGCTATTGCTATTTGGTTATTACAATGGAGATATATAGACGGAACTTGTCGTGGCCAAAGTGGTATATCTGCCAATAATTTCCTTATCCACTATGCCTCGGACCCTACCAATTTTAATGCGATGAATTCGGCCTCCATTGTTAAGTTAGTATTATAAAATTGCTTTATTGATTTCCACGATATTACTCCTCCACCTAGGATAAAAACATATCCATTGGTGGAAATACTATTATTTGAACCTAAAATCCAATTTGCATCAGTAAAGCCTTCTAAAATATGAGAAAAACTTGAGTAATGTAAACCAAAATTTATACTTCATTTTAAATATTTTAGTAACCTTACTAGAGCTTCCTAATATTCATTTCCATGATTGAGTATGTTGACTTAATTTTCCAACAACTATATCTATGTTTGGTCTTGTACAACCCATTAAGATACAGATCCAATTAAACTTAYATATTCCTTTTGTGGAACAGGTTCCCCTACATGCTTCCTTAAGTGAATATTACAACCAATAAGTGTTTTAACAATTTTACAGTCAAAGTGTCCAAATTTCCTAAGAATATKMTCTACATAGTATGACGTTAAGAAAATAAAATTTCCTTATTGTTTATGGATTTTAATATCCAAGATCACATCAGCCTCACCCAAACCTTTGGTATCAAATTTGGACATTAGAAATTATTCTGTTTCTTTTACTACCTCTAGACTTATTCCCATTATCAGCATATGATCGACATATAAACAGATCATGATTCTTTTATCATTTAGAAACTTGTTATAAACGCATCTATTGGAATCATTTATCTTATATCAATTTGTTATTAATACACTATCAAATTTTCTATGCCATTGTTTGGAAKCTTGTTTTATGCCATACAGAGACTTAATTAGCTTGCATACTTTATTTTCTTGTCTCGACATTATGAAGCCTTCTTGTTGCTTACTATATATTTATTCCTCTAATTCCCCATTTAAATAACTTGTTTTTACGTCCATTTGATGAACTACTAGTTTGTAAATAGATGATATAGCAAATAAGACTCTAAATATAGTTAACCTTGTAATTGGGGAGTAAGTGTCCAAAAAGTCTACATCTTTCTTTTGTTTGAACCCTTTACCAACTAATCTAATTTAAAATTTATCTAGTGTACCATCTGATTTTAATTTTTTCTTAAAAATCCATTTACAATAAAGTGCCTTASGAGGGAAATCTACAAGTTCTCAAGTGTGATTAATAACTAAAGAATCTATTTCACTTTTTATGGCTTCTTTTCAAAACACTGCATCAGGTGAGGTTACGGTTTCCTGATAGGTTATTAGGTCCTTGTCCACCAGAAATGTGAACATTTCGTCAGTTTGTTTTTTTTTTCCATTTGTCTTTTACTTCTCCTCAAGTCTGATTCTTTATTCCTAGAATCAGTGTTGTCTTCACTAAGTGAAGTATTGATTCTTTGAGCATTCAATTGTTTTTGGTTTCTGTTATGAAATTGGGAGGGTTCCCTATTTATTGTTTATTTTTCCATGGAAAAATGTGCTCAAAGAATTTTGCATGTTAGGACTCAATTATTATGTTGCTTTCTACAACATTATCAATTGTTTTAATTATAAGTAACCGATAAGCCGCACTATTTTGTRCATATCCAATGAATACAGTTATACGTTTCCGGTCCAACTTCTTTGTTTTTTAGGTTTCAATATTTTAACCTTTGTTAATCAGCCCCAAACTTTTAGGTAGTTCAAAATAGGTTTTCTGTTATGCCATAGTTCAAAAGGTATTTGTCCTTAATTTCTTCTTGGGTGGTATTTTATTGTATAAATAACAAGCTATTGGGATTGTTTCTCCCCACGAGTTCAGAGGTATACAGACTAATTATCATATCATTCATCATTTCTTTTAATGTTTTGTTCAGTTTTTCTGCAACTCTATTAGATTGAAGTTAGTAAGGGTTGTGGTTTCGTGTATGATTATGTTTTATTTAAAGAATTTTTTGATGGTTTCTCCATCATATTTACTTCTTCTATCTATTTTAAGTCTTTTTATTTTCTTTTATAACTGATTTTCTACTTTAGTCTTGTAATTTATAAAAGCTTGTTCAACGTCATATTTTGATCTAAGTATAACTACTTTTTCATATCTACAAAAGTCATCTGTGAGAGTTATATAATATATTTTTTTCCTCCTCTAACTTCATGATTCTTAAGGTCTCCTAAATCACTATGTATAAGTTGCAAAAATTTAGTTTATCTTTGTACACTTTTATGCGGTTTCTTAATTAATTTTGCTTCTATACATATTTGACATTTTTCATTTGTAAAATCAATAAGAACATTCAAAACTCATAATTTACAGAACCATCTTAAATAAAGAGCACTACAATGTCCTAATCTAGCATGCCGAATATCAAACGATTCAGCAATATAAGAAGAAGAAGAAGCATTCTTATTCATAATTATATAAAAAAATGTTTAGTACAAATAGTCCACTAGTATTGTATCATTTTATAATAAATACATTATTTTTAGTTAGCATAGTCTTGTCTTTTTCAAATGTGAGTTTCAGTCTTACTTTGTTGAAGAGTGCTCCCAACACCAAATTTCGTYTGATCTCTRCCACATTCATCACATCATTCAACATCAAGATTTTTCCCGAAATCAATTTTATGAGCATTTTTTCTTTGTCAATAACCTTCAAAGTTTGTGAGTTTCCCATGAAGACTTGCTCTCCCTCAAACTGAGTTGTGTACTCATAGGAGTTGCAGTCCCTACATATGTGCTTAGTATCATTAGTGCCCAATACCCACTCATTTGGTTTATCAAACAAGTTTGCCTCAGTTATCATGGTTGTAATAACATCCTCAGCCAAATTGACTTTTGGTTCCCTAAAGT